GAGCTGCGGCCCGTGCCGCCGGGTTGCGCAGGCGGTAGGTGACAAATTCTGAGCTCCGGGTAGGGATGCCTCTGGGTTTAGCCAGCAGAGCGGTAACCGCGCTGCCCACTCCCTCGGACGGAGTGGTGAAAGGTGCCTCCGGCCGAGCCTTTGGGCCCGCCCCCGTCGCCGCATTGGGGTTGAGCCCTGAACGCAAGAGCCATTTTTATATTTATTTATTTTTTAATCTTTATTGTTGAAAGTATAATATATGCCCCCCCCATTGACCCCTGCCGCCCCTGAGCTATTTTTAAATCGTGTGGCACCTCTAGCATTTCACCACGTGCATGCCATCCCTTGCCTTTTATTTATGTTTATTTCTTAAGTATGTTTTTATTGACTTCAGAGAGGAAGGGAGAAGGCGAGAGAGGAACATCAATGATGAGAGAGAATCATTGATGGGCTGCCTGTTGCTCTCCCCTCCCCGGGGATGCAGCCCTGCGGGCAGGTGCCCTGCCAGAATGGAGCCTGGACCTCCTGGCTCCTAGGTCCCTGCTCAGCCACTGAGCCACGCCTGCGGCCCTCCTTTGCCTTTTAAACACGAAAAGTCAGAATGTCGTAAAATAATACCTCCTCTCATTTCTTCATTTTCCCCGTGAGGCCCAGAAAGGGGTCGTAACCCGTCTGAGGTCGCACAGCATCCGAGGGTGGCACTCAGAACCCAGACCCCTGCATTCCCCCCATCGCTTACACCCACTGCGGGCCCTTTCCAGTGATAATCTGCCAACATGGGTTAGGTGAGAGGCACGGAGGAGTTAAGTAGGTGCACCCCAATTTCGCTTCTGGAACAAAAGGAGAAAAGAACCTAATGGGATTTGATCTCATTTTAAGAAGTTTTAGAGGTAATGATGCTCTTGAAGCTTAAATGCATTTCTAAAAAAAGAATTAAGTTTGAAGAAGGACTTTTTGTTAGTTACCTATCTCTCTTATATTTGAGTCATTCCTATCTATAATAATAAAAGGGTAATATGCTAATTAGACCAGACATCCTTCCTGACAAAGGGGGGCTGGAGGGAAGACAGCCTGGGTCCCGGGTGCCTGCCGGCGGCCGGAGGAGGGAAGCCGGTGCCGGCAGCCAGGGGGAAGGAAGGCCTACTCTTGCACAAATTTTTGTGCACCAGGACTCTAGTTACATAATAATAGTGGTAGCTAACATTTATTGAACACTAATGACATGGCCTAGTGGCACTGTTTTAAAGCACTTTCCATGGATTATTTGGATCCATCTTTGCCCCAGTCTTTATAAGATAGCTGTGAATATTAAATTCATTTTAGGGATAAAGAACTGAGGCCGTGATGCTAGCTGCTCCAGGGACATAGAAATGAAGACAGTCCTTCCCCTTAATGAGTTTGCAAGTGAAAATAATCAGATGTTTATGCTAAGTGAAATAAGCCCATTTGAGAAAGACAAATATCACATGATTTTACTTATTTGTGGAATCTAATGAACAAAATGAATTGACTAATAAAATAAGACCTGAAGCATGGAGGCATGGAACGGACTGACATACCTTGATGTAGGGTTGGGGGGACTGGAAGAGATAAATCAAAGAACTTATTCCTTATATTCATAGCCCATGGACATCAGCAATAGGGTGGAGAAGATCTGGGGGGGTGAGTAGGGGCCAGGAGGACAGGGTAAAGGGGGGTAAATGGGAGACATGTGGAATACTATCAACAATAAAAAATGTACGTAAAAAGTAATCAGATGTTAAAAACAAAAAGTGATCATATATATGCTTAAAATTCCTCAGTGATTCCTGTGAAATGAAAATTGTAATATTTTACAGTAAACTAGATTTCAAAAACTTGCATCAGATTACTAAAATTTTCACTACTAAAGTCTCCTTTTATTTCTTTTCCAGTAATAATGTTTTTCCTCTTTCTCCTTGTTTTTATTTTATTATTATTTTTAATCCTCACAGGAGGAGTAAGGATATTTTTTCCATTGATTTCTAGAGAGAGTGGAAAGGGAGGGGGGCAGGACAGGAGAGAGAGAAACATCAATGTGACAGGACACATCAATTAGTTGTCTCTCTACTGGGGATTAGACCTGCATCCCAGGTACACCCTTGACCTGAATGGAACCTGTGACCTCTGGTGAGCAGGCTGATGCTCTAACCACGGAGAACACCGGCCAGGTCTCTCCTTGTTTTTAATTTGTCAAAGGCACGCAAAAATAGCCAATGAACACTTCCTCTGTTGTAATGTAATAGCTAAAGTTACAGTACTAATATGCTTCCAGTCAAAGATGTTGGCTTCTTTAGCAGTTTATACTTTCTGCTAGACTTTTTGAAGTATTGAAATACCTTTCAAACCATATAGTATAGGTTATCTCTTTCTAGGGAAATGTGGTAGAAACAGAAAAGAAGGAGGACTTTTCACTGTATTTTCTTTTTCCTTTTAAATTTGGAACCATGTGAGTCTATTATCTCATTTTAAAAAAATTTAAAATAAGGGAAAAAAACAGTTTGTAGTTCTTTGCCTCCTTCACTCATAACTTAATTACGAGTCTGGAACTTGAGGTTATGAATCACCAGTGTAGATATATTTGTTTCTTACAACAGATACTGCACTATCCTGTGTGCACTCTGTTATCAAGGATATAAATTTCTCCTTGAGCTCTTGTTTTTAAATTGTAGCTATTCTTGCCTGAGGAAGTGAAAGTAATGTTGTAGATAGAAAAATGAAAACTTGGCTTTTTTGTTATTTTCATTATAGTGTTTTATGTATGAGAAGTAGAAACAACTTAAAGATTCTTAAAATGTTATTTTTATTTGTTTTTAAATGTAGATTATATGACATGATGAATCCATACACCATTAAGAAACAGCCTCTCCATCAGTTTGTACAAAGACCACTTGTCCCACTATCTACAACCTTACGTAACACAGGTAAAATTTCACCTCTTTCAGAGCAAATTGTATTTCAGAAGCTAATGAAAGTGCTTGGATGAAATTTTGTAGGTCATAAAAGGTGAGAATTTGTAAATTTTATCTTCAGATGCCTATAAAAGAATATAGCTTTTTTCCTACCATAACATCACGCTTTGGTGTAATTATTTGATTACACATATCATTGGTATTACATTTCAAGAATCCTGAGCACAGTGTCCAATAGAGCTATGAAATTTCAGTATCTTGTATAACACATCCTCTGAAACATAGGAGTTGCTTAATAAATGATTTCTGAGATGAAAATACGGTAAAAAGAAGTTACAAATGAATTTGTGTTTTAAAGAATCATTTGTATTTTAAGTTCTTTTTTTTCTGGTCAAAATAAGTGGGTTTTGTTTTTTTTGACAATCTGATTGGTATTATATGCTTTTATTTTCTTTAATATTGGAAATAGGTATGAGGATAGGATTTGAAAATTATTTAAATATGACCACTGTCGTGTCATATTGGGAGGAGCTATTGTGTGGCTATGGAAACTTGGGAGGAAAGGGCGGATATGTGTGTGTAAAATACCTATCTGTATGTGCTTATGGAGCTGTAATAGTGGATTCAGCTCCTGGCCCATCTCCATTTCCTTCACTGCCTTGAACACCTCCTGTGGCCATGCTCTGGAAGGTGACTGACTGGCTAATGGCATGAGCTGGATTAGGTTACAGACCATATCTCCCCTGTGTACTGGAGCAAGACCAGGAGTACCTTGCCTCTCTTCTTGAATCACAGATAATTTAGGTATAAATACTGAGTATCTCAACATATTAAGATACTTTATTGGACTTTAAATTTTTGTGGGACTGAATTATGTGGTCTCCTAGGCTTTCTGAATTGGAGAGCTGCTGATTTTAGTCTTTTATACTGACTTTAAGCACCATTAATGTGTTGTTTTGGAGGAACTTATGCCTACCTATTTACCTATCAGTAACAAGCATAATAGGAACAATTATTTTAGATCAGTCTTTCTATCCTGGTGTAACCCTTATGACACTTTCAGGGGCATCTTTCTGGATGATGGACCTGGGAATCATTTTTTTTTTTTAAATATATTTTATTGATTTTTTACAGAGAGGAAGGGAGAGAGACAGAGAGTTAGAAACATCGATGAGAGAGAAACATCGATCAGCTGCCTCCTGCACATCTCCTACTGGGGATGTGCCAGCAACCCAGGTACATGCCCTTGACCGGAATCGAACCTGGGACCTTTCAGTCTGCAGGCCGTCGCTCTATCCACTGAGCCAAACCGGTTTCGGCTCTGGGAATCATTTTTTAATTGAACCCAATTTAGACCATAATTGGAATGATTGTTAATACCCAGTCAAATCACTTTTTTGAAATAGCTTTGTTCATTGTCAAAAGAAAATTTATATAGTGATGTCATATATTCTTTTCTACCTCAGATTTTGTTCTCAACAAATTTTTTTATACTTATGGTTCTTACCTTCAAGTATTTCTAAACATTTTTCTTCCTGTATATATTGTTTTACATAAATGGATTGAGTAGAATAAAAGCCAGATTTAATTCTTCAAATATTGGAAGAGTGCCTAATGTGTGTGGAGCTTTTGGCTACCAATAAATTATTAAGAAAGGTTGCAAGAAATGATTGGTCAGAACCACAGTTAGAAGAACCTTGTTATCTTTATATTTGCAGGAAGCCCTTTTTTTAATGTTCCATTGAAAAAATTGTTTCCTTGTAACACAGATTTTCAGAGGCATTTATTGGTTAGAGGTATAAATATTTTAAACCAAGCACTTGAACATTGAGGATATCATTCAAAATTTTTCTCTTCTGTAGGACTTGTCTGGTCACCAAGTCACCAACTGATATTTTATAGAACAGTGACTTAAATAAGCAAAATGTATGGAATTTTAGTTTTAATTTCTACTTCACCAAGGAAATGACTCAACATCAGTTAGCTGGAACTGTACGGCAAGGTGCAAAAACAGTTCTTCAGCTGTCAAGTTAGAATCTTGTAAGAAAAGCACTTTCATAACAACCATATGTTTTGCCAGATTTAACCTCTAATTTAAAATAAAACTTGCTTTTTTTATATTTTCCTATCTTTTCTAGGATGTGTGGTATGAGGATTATGACAAGATAGGAAGACTGATTTTATATATATTTTCCTATTATGCTTGGCATTGATAAGTATGGAGTGGCAGTATGCACAATGGTTAAGCAAGTCAGTGCTGGAAAATTGGCAGTTTTATCACTTTAAATAGCTGAATGACATTGAGCTTTAGTTTCCTCATTTTTTTTTTAATATATATTTTATTGATTTTTTACAGAGAGGAAGGGAGAGGGATAGAGAGTTAGAAACATCGATTCAGCTGCCTCCTGCACACTCCCCACTGGGGATGTGCCCACAACCAAGGTACATGCCCTTGACCGGAATCGAACCTGGGACCCTTGAGTCCGCAGGCCGACGCTCTATCCACTGAGCCAAACCGGTTAGGGCAAGTTTCCTCATTTTTAAAATAGGATAAAAACTACTTTGAAAGAATGTGAGGAGTAAGTGATATAATTCATGTGGAATGCTTAGCATCTTGCCTAGCACATGTTTTTGTTTGTTTTGTTTTTTAATTTATTGATTTTAGAAAGAGGGAGGAAAGGGAGAAAGAGACAGAGATAGACATTGATTCATTGTTTGACGTATCCAGGCACTCACTAGTTTTGTATTGAACCCACAACCTTGGTGCATCGGGTGATGTTCCAACCGACCAAGCTACCTGGCCAGGGCCCAGCACATGTTAATAACCTAGTGAATTAACCTATTTCAGTATACTGCTCTAAGATGAGAATTGGTGTTTTTTGGTCAAAAGGTGTGTTTTCATAATAAATAGTAAAGGCCTGTTCAATAGTTTTAAAACTGTTAAAACCCCAGTACTAACTATCTATCCTTTTGTCTTACAAGCTGTTGTTATATTAACAAGGTAGGGAATTAAAGATTTTGTTCTTTATTGCTTTAATGAATTCATTCTCAATCTAATCATGGCCCTAGAAGAAAGAAAAGAACCTATAACGACAATATTTTTGTTGTTGTTGTTGTTAATCTTCACCTGAGGATATTTTTTTCCATTGATTTTTAGAGAGTGTGTAAAGGGAGGGAGGGAGAGAGAGAAAGAGAGAAACATCGATGTGAGAGAGATGCATTGATTGGTTGTCTCCCACACTAACCCTGACTGGGCCTGGGGATCAAACCTGCAACCCACATAGGTGCCCTTGAACAGGAATCGGACCTGTTGGTCCTCGAGCTGATGTTCTAACCACTGCACAATCTGCCAGGGCTGAAAAGATAATTTTTAAGTATTTCAGAAAGTAAGTCACATAGATTCCCACTTACATGATAATTTATAGTGTCACTAATTCTATACCACTTTTTGGGCAGTTACTTAACTCTTTGTAACACGTTACTTATCTGTAAGCCTCAGTTTCTTCATTTGTAAAATGGGAATAATAGTATCTTCTTCATAGGTTGTTAAAGGCTTAATTACATTTAAAGCACTGGACCCACCCTGGCCGGTTTGGCTCATTTGGGCATCGTTCCAGGCACTGAAAGGTTGCTGGTTCAATTCCTGATCAGGGCACATGCCCTGGTAGTGGGTGTGCAGGAGGTAGCCAACTGATGCTTCACTCTCACATTGATGTTTTTCTCTCTCTCCATCTCCTCTTTCTCTCTCTAAAAATCAGTTGTTTTTTTTAAAAAAGCACTCAATTCAGTCCCTGGCATGTAACTACTAAGCACACAATAAATAATAGTTATTATTATAAATTTTTGTCTTTAAAAGGCTGGTAGTACTTTGGAAGAAGAGAATGTAACATTTTACTATATTAATATCACAGTGATGATGATTTATGATTATGATAGCCATTGGTATTAAGTCACCAAATAGAATACATATATGATTCCTGAATTATAATATATATATACCTTTCTACTTAAGTATAGGCTATTACTAGAATCTGTTGAGTAGCAAAACTATCTAAATAATCAAAATTAATACAAAATTCAATGCATTCAATGCAGTTATCCTAAATATTGGTAAATTGCCTTCTTGTCTTTAAAAATTCTTATTTTGTCAGTTTGGACAGTAAAGTCTTATTTTCTTTTTACTGACTTTTCTTACTTCTTTGGGTCTCTGAAAATGAGCATTTCATAGTCCATAAATTGTTAACTACTTTATTTTCCAGATTAACATTATTTCTTCTTTTTTTTTCTCTTTTAGTGAGACACATGTTCATTCAAACACAAGATACCCCAAATCCCAACAGTTTAAAATTTATTCCTGGAAAACCAGTTCTTGAGACAAGGACCATGGATTTCCCCACGCCAGCTACAGCATTTCGCTCCCCTCTGGCTAGGTATATTACTAGTTTTCACTTGCTTTTACCAAGAAACGTAATTAACTGACTTTGGGGTTAAGGCAGCTTTATTTAGCTATTGCATTTTTATGTGCACTGCATTTTTTTCAGAGATTACTTCCTTTTCAGATAAGGGGTAAAAAACTAAGAATTGATATTAGGAAAGTCTTCTCCTGAAAAGTGATGTATTGAGAGATCTGTATCAAACTATATAATAAAAGCCTAATATGCTAAGTGTCCGGTCATCTGGACCAATCAAAGTGTAATATGCTAATGATATGCTAAAGCCGCTTAACCGCTCGCTATGACATGCATTGACCACCAGGGGGCAGATGCTCTGACTGGTAGGTTAGCTTGCTGCTGGGGTCCGGCCGATTGGGACTGAGCGAGATGGGCTGGACATGCCCTGGAGCCCTCCCGTGTCCCTCCCCAGCCCCGATTGTGCACCGCTGGGGTCCCTCAGCCTGGCCTGCACCCTCTTGCAATCTGGGCTGAGGGACCTCTTCCCCCCACCCCCCACCCCCGCCCCCAATGCACAAATTTCGTGCACTGGGCCTCTAGTGACGATATAAAAATTTATATCTTTACTTAAGAAAAATAATCCATCAAATTGATAATATGGTTAATTTTCATTCTAAATCTTTATTTTTTAAAATGTATTTTATTGATTTCAGAGAGGAAGGGAGAGGGAGAAAGAGATAGAAACATCAATGATGAGAGAGAATCATTGATCGGCTGACTTCTGCATGCCCCCTACTGGGGATCGAGCCTGCAACCTAGGCATGAGACCTGACTGGGAATGGAACTGTGATCTCCTGGTTCATAGGTTGAAGCTCAACCAACTGAGCCACATGGACCAGGGCTCCATTCTAAATCTTTAAAACTGTTTTTAATAAGGAATGAAAGCTTACTTGTTTAATTCTTAAGGATAGCTGAATTTCTAGATGTCTCAAATGGAGTCATTTATAAAATATTCCACTCACAACTATAAATTATAATAGTTATCAGATATGGGATGATTTAAAAACAAAACAAAACTATTCAGTTAAGTCCTGGCTGGCGTGGCTCACTAGGTTGGAGCGTCGTCCCGTGCACCATTAGGTGGTGGCTTTGATTTCCCAGGAGGCATATACCCAGGTTGTAGGTTCAATCCCCAGGAGACAACACATCAATGTTTCTCTTTTTTCTCCCTTCCTCTCCTTAAATCAATTAAAAAACCAAACTACTCAGTTGAGACAGTTTTTAAATTCACTAAGTAGAGACAAGTTAAGTATATATCAGACGATAAAGCATAAACAATAAAATCATTGGAATGTAACTGTTTTTAGCTAATAGCTAAAGAAATTATTTATAATAAGAGTCAGTATCAATTGACATTTTTAGTAAGCTGTGCCTGATACTGATTACCGAGGATACTTGGAAAATATCACTTAAATAATTTTCTCCATATATACCCTTTTTTAAAATCTCATATAGGGGGGTCAGAAATATGCTTATCTCAAGAATGGTTTTTAAAATCTCTAATTAATAAAAATACATATTTCCTTGACCTAAATATGCTGCTTGTCAGAATATACCTTAGAGCATTTGTTTTTTATAATTTTTGATACAAGCCACAATAAGAAATGTTTTATGTTATGACTCAATACACACACTACATACACATGTATACATATACGGGTATCCATATATATGTGAACATAGACACACACAAATATATATGTATATATATACACATATATGTGTGTGTTTGTATGAAACAAGTGTTTGATGGGACATTTTCACCCTTTCAATGTGTGATGCATTCTTATATTTTGTTTCTTCTTCTTTTTATTCTGTTCTATTTTATTAGATAAAATTTTGGTCACTACATAATTGATTTCACAACCTGCTGGTGGGCTTGAAAAATACTCTCTAGAGCAGCGGTTCTCAACCTGTGGGTCGCGACCCCTTTGGGGGTCGAACGACCCTTTCACAGGGGTCGCCTAAGACCATCGGAAAACACATATATAATTACATATTGTTTTTTTGATTAATCACTATGCTTTAATTGTGTTCAATTTGTAACAATGAAAATACATCCTGCATTGCAGATATTTACATTATCATTCATAACAGTAGCAAATTTACAGTTATGAAGTAGCAACGAAAATAATTTTATGGTTGGGGGTCACCACAACATGAGGAACTGTATTAAAGGGTCGTGGCATTAGGAAGGTTGAGAACCACTGCTCTAGAGAATACCCGCATATGTACACAAGGTGTGTGCAAGGAGGTTCATTGTAGCCTTATTGGTGGGGGAATAAGTTAGAAACAACCAAAATATTCATCAGTAGAAAGAGTTAGATAAACATTGTTCATCCATAGTCTTCACATATTAAAAAGGATGAGAGGGACCCATATTTACCATCACAGAATGACCTCTAAGACATATTGTTAAGTGAAGAAAGCAAGTTTCAGGACAGTAAGTGCAATATGATTATTATATGTCTAAAAACAAAAAAACAAAACATATGCCTCACAAAGGCTTGCACATAAATCTATATAGTAGCATTATTTATAATAACCTCATCCCCAAAAATCTGAAATGTCCATCAACTGTGGAATGACTAAACAGATTGTAAATGCCCATATACTAGTAATGTAATACTACTCGACAATAAAGTAGATCAGTGATGGCAAACCTATGACACATGTGTCAGAGGTGACACGCGAACTCATTTTTTTGGTTGATTTTTCTTTGTTAAATGGCATTTAAATATATAAAATAAATATCAAAAATATAAGTCTTTGTTTTACTATGGTTGCAAATATCAAAAAATTTCTGTATGTGACACGGCACCAGAGTTAAGTTAGGGTTTTTCAAAATGCTGACACGCCGAGCTCAAAAGGTTCGCCATCACTGAAGTAGAATGAACTATTGATACAAAAAAACAAGGATGACTCTCAAAAGCATTATGATAAGTGAAAGAAGCCAGACTCAAAGACTGTATGGTTTCATTAATATGAAACTCTAGCAAAGACAAAGCAGTAGTGGCATAAAGATCAATAGTTACCAGGGTGACAGATGTGCTAACTAACCTTATTGTGGTAATCATTTCACAGTATATATGTATATCAAGTCATCACGTTGTGCACCTTCAACTTACACAATGTTTTATGTCAGTTATATTTCAGTGAAGCTGGAAACATTTTTTAAAGCAAAAGTAAAAGTTATTTCCATAAAACAAAAGTTAATAGAACATGGAGGTAAAGCAAGAGGGCTGAATGCAAAGGGAAATGAGGGATCTTTTGCAGTAATAAAAATATTTTATATTTTTATTGTGGGATTGCTTGATTGTAGGGGAAGATGATAAAACAAGATTGGCCATGACTTGAAACTGATGATGGGTACATGGAAGTTCTTTTATTTTTCTCTGTACTTTTGTTTATGTGTAAACTTTTCATAATTAAACATTTTATTATCTCTTATTTTTTTCACAGGCAATTATTTAGGATTGAAGGAGTAAAAAGTGTCTTCTTTGGACCAGATTTCATCACTGTCACAAAGGTAAACATAGGGGGATATAAAATAAGATGTGAAGCACTTTTAGTTTTCCTGAGTCAAATGCTCTCCAGAATTTCCATTCTTAATGTATTTTATACATACGGTTACCTAAAAAAATCTCAAGTTAAGTTTACTTCTCACATTTCTTAAGTTAATTATTTAATATAATTTCCAGATCCCTCATTTTTTAAAAGGGAAAAATTTGAGCTTCAAGATTGTATAGGTAGCCTACAGTAGGGCCAAGACTTAACCTTGGCAAGCCTAGAATTTAGGCTTCCAAGTATTATTTTTACTAATTTTTAATGTAAATTGATAGAGTAAAAAGAGAAGGAAATAATCACACAAAATATATATTTGACCAACAGAATGATTGAATATATATATCTCCTTTCAAAGTGGGTACTTACATCATGGCATCTGACCCATTCTACTGTCCTGCAATAACCCTTCAGAGTTTCATACATAAAAGCAGTGGACTCTAAGTTCTTACGTTACCGATTGCAACAGCTAACATGGCATCTGCTAGAAAAGGCTGTTTCATATTTAAGTCTACTAGGTTAATGAGAAATGAACTATTTAAATTTGAACTATGTATCCTTTTAAATCAATTGACATGTATACACCAAATTTAATCATTTGTATAATTTCCATCAAAATAAAAAGTATTCTTTCAACTCCTCTTAAGCAATTTTAAAGGATTACTCTGAGTTCTTCATGTACCAAAAAGTGGATATATTGGGTTAGTCCACTAACATGTTACATCTAGTCCAGTATTCTTTGTAGCTGTTTCTCAAAAAGTCCTTTCTTGACCATACTTGTGAAAGTGTCACTTCTCCCAGGAGCTCATTGCCCTGTTCATTTTCTTTTTCTTAAAAAAAAAAAAAAAAATATATATATATATATTTGATTTTAGAGAGGAAGGGAAAGGCAGAGAAAGATATATACATCAATGATGAGAGAGAATCATTGATTGGCTGCCTCCTGCACAACCCCTACTGGGGAACAAGCCCGCAACCCGGGTATGTGCCCTGACCAGGAATCCAACCGTGACCTCCTGATTCATAGGTCCCCGTGAAATCATTGAGCCACACCAGCTGGGCCCTTGTTGATTTTCTTCATTGCGCTTATCTTAATCATATTTTTTTTTTTATTCCCTGTCTTTCCTGCACTAGAATATAAACTCTGTAAAAATAAAAATTGTCCATCTTGTAAAGACCCCTAGAACAACAACAACAACAAAAACAAACAAAAAGAAAAAAAGATCACCTAGAACAATGCCTGGCATATAGTGCACTCAAATACATTTTTCTAGAAGGAAACAGTGTCTAAATTGAATTTTCAGCCTTCAAGTGGCTTCCCACAAATGTAGGATCATAGTGAGCAAATCTGTGTTAACTACTCTCTAGTCTTTTCAGTTTAGAGACACTGGCCTATCCTTGTTATTCAGTTTTCTTTCTTTGACATTTTTTGAGGGAGAAAAAAGGACCAACATTTATTTAATATCTCTAACATGTAGGCTATGGCATGAATGCTTTACATATATTATCTGGTTTAATTCTTGCAACTAGTCTTTATTTTACAAGCAGGAAATTATGTATTTATTTTAAGCCACTTTTATTTAGTTCTTTAACATATAGTCTATGCTATATAAGATTTTTTTAGATAAAAACATGTGATTATATCTTACAGGGTTTTTGTTCTTGATTTGATTTTGGTAAGTCATCTTTCATTTCCCTTCCCCTTCATAATTTAGTTACCCTTTTTGAAATTTCTTCAGCTCCACTAGTTTTTCTTAATGACATGACAGCTAATAAATAATATTCCAAATGAGGGCACACATTGATATTTAATAGGTAGAATAGCAGACTGCATTTGTTTTCTTTCAGTTAACCTTTCTCATTATGGACTATTCCATTTACCTGACATCTTTAGTGATTTCCTGTTTCCCTTTTGATCTGTAATTAATAATTCTGAGGCTTCTTTATGCATCATTTATCATTTTTTTCTAAATGTGTAAGTGTATTTTCAGCTTATATGCTGCCTTTTTGTCTCATTCAACTTCAGGAAATTTTTCTTTTTGTTACCAAGATTTCCTTACTCAGTAGAACCCAATGTTTACTGAAGATCTGAGGTAGCCCTTTGGTCCATCTTCCAAATAATTTTTTAGAACATTACCTCTAACTAGTTCCCATTCCCAATCACTAAAGCATGTCACTAGTTTTGCTTTTGTATCCATAGCAGTGCCCATTTATCTCCGCTCTGTGTACTGCCTTTAAATTGGTTCTTAATCTATTAAAATATCATTCTTATGCATGTAGCCCCAATTTTTTGTAGTCTTTAAGCATAGACCCTAGCCAAGTTTCCTGAGAGTCTGAGTAGACTTCATCTAATAGTTTTTCCTTCTAGAAAAACTATTTCCTTTTCTTTTTAATATTTATGGATAATAAAGACCATTATAAACTGATGAACAAAAATAGATACAGAGGCAGAGCAGCATCGAACAGACTGTCAAACTACAGCGGGAAGGCCGGGGAGGATTGAGGGATAACAGATCAACCGAAGGACTTGTATGCATGCATATAAGCATAACCAATGGACACAAGACACTGGCTGGTAGGGGAGGCTGGGGGAAGGTCAAGGGGGAAAAGAAAGGAGACATATGGAGGCCCGGGGAATGTCAAGGGGGGAGGGAAGAAGGATACATATGTAATACTCTTTGTAATACTTTAAGCAATAAAAAAAATTAATAAAATGTAAAAGAAAATAAATAAATAATTATTTTTAAATCCTCACCTGAGGAGGTGTGTGTGTGTGTGTGTGTGTGTGTGTGTGTGTGTGTGTGTATTTTTTAATTGATTTAGAGAGAGAGAGGAACATCAATGTGTGAGAGAAACATTGATTGGTTGCCTCCTATACACACCCCGACTGGAGATTGAACCTGAAACCTAGATATGTGCCTTGACCGGGAATTGAATCCACAACCATTTTGGTGTACGGGATGACATTCAACCAATTGAGCTACCTGGTCAGACTGAAGAGCTCTCCTTTAAAAAACTAAAACAGTAGCCTAGCCAGCAAGGCTCAGTGGTTGAGCGTTGACCTATGAACCAGGAGGTCATGGTTTAATTCCCAGTCAGGGCACATGCCTGGGTTGTGGGCTTAATCCCCAGTAGGGGGCATGCAGGAGGCAGCCAATCAATGATTCTTTCTCATCATTGATGTTTCTCTCTCTCCCTCTCCCTTCTTCTCTGAAATCAATAAAAATATTAAAAAACAAACAAACATAAAACAATATATCCTGCCTTTCTCTTTTTAGACATTAGTACTATTTAGGTGTTTAAGAATTATACCTTTTTTTTTTTAATGGAATCAACTAGTCGGTCAGATTTGGGGGTGAAATAGTTATTGATTCTTTCTTGAGGATACTGGTCTTTTTTTGTATATTTTTTTTATTTTTTTACAGAGAGGAAGGGAAAGGGATAGAGAGTTAGAAATATTGATGAGAGAGAAACATCGATCAGCTGCCTCCTGCACACTCCCTACTGGGGATGTGCCCACAACCAAGGTACATGCCCTTGACCGGAATCGAACCTGGGACCCTTGAGTCTGCAGGCTGATGCTCTATCCACTGAGCCGAACCGGTTAGGGCGAGGATACTGGTCTTGTTGACAGTTCACAAGTCTTCTAGCCCAGTAGCCATGGATAAGACATGTTAGAAGTTTTGGTTCTACAGTTGTGTCATTGGATTTTGTCAATACTCTTAAGTAATATATGTAAATTGAATTTTTTAATAGTTGTCAGATATCTTATGTATTTGATTATTGATTTTTTTTTTAGAGCGAGAGGGAAAGAGAAATACATTGTGTTGTTCCACTTATTTATGCATTCATTAGTTGATTTTTTTTTTAATTCAGCCCTTTAAAAAATCTTAAAATTTTTAAAAATATTTATTGATTGATTTTTAGAGAGAGAGAGGAAGGGGGAGAGAGACAGACAGACAGGCAGTGATTTTTTCCACTTGTTTATGCATTCATTGGATGATTCTTATATCTGCCCTGACTGGGGATTGAACCTGCAACCTTGACATATTGGGACAACACTCTAACTAACTGAGCTACCTGGCCAGGACCATTGGTTAATTCTTTTATTTTTTTGTTAATCATCACCTGAGGATATTTTTTCCATTTTTAGAGACAGTGGAAGGGAGATTGGGAGGGAGGGGGAGAGAAACATTGATGTGAGAGAGACACATTGATTGGTTGCCTCCCGCACACACCCCTACTGGGGCTGGGGATGGAACCTGCAACCCAGGTACGTGCCTTTGACTGGGAATTGAACTCGAGAGCCTTCAGTGTGCGGGCTGATGCTTTAACCACTGAACAACACTGTCCAGCACCAGCCAGGGCCTCTTTATCCTCATTAACATAGAGAGTCCTTATTCAGTATTTTAACTGTGTTTACTTCTTGAAAAAATATTTTTTTTATCATTTTGATATCCCCTATATAGGGTATGATATACATACAGCACACTTAGTACAAGTTTGATGAATGAATGAATGAGAAATATTCTAGGATTGTATCTTCTGAAAGTCATTATAAGCCATATTCTTTAAGAACTGGACCTGACATGTATTCTCCAGAAATGAGTACTGTTGCATAGTACAGGATATATATATATATATATATATACACACACACACACACACACACATATAAAAGATGCTTAAAAGATACGAAGTCTTGTTTTATATTTGTCTATGCCCTTGGGTAGAAATTTTAGCATTTTTCTTCAAATATTTACAGGAAAGTGAAGAGTTAGACTGGAATTTACTGAAACCAGATATTTATGCAACAATCATGGATTTCTTTGCATCTGGCTTACCCTTAGTCACTGAGGAAACATCTTCTGGAGAAGCAGGTGATATGTTGGGTAATTAATATTTATCTTTTTTTTAAAAAAAAGCTTTTCTACATTCTTCTCATTTGCTTTGATTTCAGAAATCATGGATGTACAGATTTTTATCATTGTACTATATTTAGCTCTGGAACCAATTCCGAGGAAATAAAACTTCATATATACTAGTTTTGCCCATTGTTTTTGAAAATCTGTAAATAAATTGAATCTGTTATACAAAAGTACATTTTTCAATTATAAAAATTGTCAAACATACAGAAAATAGTATAAAGCTTACCAATTTGCCTCCTCTCAGATTTAACAAATGTTAATTTTTGGCTATAATTGCTTTAAATCCATATTTTAATAAAATATTAAAGACACAGCCAAAGCCCTACAACCCCCATCCCTTTTCCCTTTCTGCTTCCAGAGATGTATGTAAACTCTGTTTGTTTTAAAATTTTTTTCCCCAAATATATTTTATTGATTTAAGAGGGGAAGGGAGAAAGAAGGAAACATCAATGATGAGAGAGAATCATCGATTGGCTGCCTCCTGCACACCCCCTACTGGGGATCGAGCCCCCAACCCGGCATTTGCTCTTGACTAGAGTCAAACCTGGGACCTTTGAGTCTGCAGGCCGACACTCTATCCACAGAGCCAAACCAGGTAGGGCTAAACTCAGTTTGTTTTAAAACATTTATTACAAATACAAGTCTCTGCAGGGAATATATAACATTGGTTTTTGTTTTTCAATTTTAAATAACTTGTACTATATGCAACTTTCCTCTTTTTCACTGAGTATAACATTTTGAAATACATCCATTTTGAAAAAAACGTAGTTCTATTTAGTTTAAGTGCTGGATAATCATTATATGAATAAACTACAGTTAATTATTTTGTTTCTTATGTTTAAGTGAATTATTTGTGCAATTTCTATTACAAATATTGCAGTGGGCATCTTTGTACTGTCTCTTTGTGCATATGTGGAGAGTTTCTGTAGCATATATTCCTTTTTTTTCCATTGATTTCAGATAGAGTGGAAGAGGAAGAGAGGGAGGAGAGAGAGAGACAGAGACAGAGAGAGACATCGATTGGTTGTCTCCCGCATGTGTCCCAACCAGTGCAGGTGGCGAGCAAACCTGCAACCCAGGTACATGCCCTTGATCAGGAATGGAACCCACAACTCTTTGGTGTGGGGGCAATGCTCTAACCACGGAGCACACTAGCCAGAGCATAGCATATATTCCTAGAAGTAGAATTGCTGTATTATAAATTGTTATAATGTACATACAAATCAGCAGTGTATAAGAATTTACTTTCTTATATCTTTATTATCACTTAGTGTCTTACATTTTTTTAACCAGTATTTAAGTGTAAAATGGTGCCTTGTTTTAATTTCATTTCCTTGGTATTATGATACTGAGCCTGAAGGTTTCCATACGTTTGCTGGTCATTATTTTCCTTCTCACTATATTTCCTGTTCATAATCTTTGCCTATTTTTTAAAAATTGAATTACATGTTTTTTTGTATCAATTTTACCAGGTTTTTAAGAACTATTCTGAGTGTCAGTTTTTTGTTAGTTTTTTTCTAGCAGATATCATCTCCATAACCACGCCTTATCTTTTCTCTGTGTTTAGAATAGCTTTTGTCATTCAGAGATTTTTAAAGAAAATATGGAATGTTTCATGAATCTGTGTGTTGTCTTTGCACATGGGCCATGCTAATCTTCTCTTTATCAATCCAATTTTAGTTTTTGTGTTGCCAAAGCAAACACAGTTTTTCTTTTTTAAAATATATTTTTATTGATTTCAGAGAGGAAAGAAGAGGGAGAAAGAGATAGAAACATCAGTGATGATAGAGAATCATTGGTTGGCTGCCTCCTGCATGCCCCACACTGGGGATCGAGCCCACAACCCAGGCATGTGCCCTGATCGGGAATCGAACCATGACCTCTTGGTTCATAAGTTGACACTCAAATACTGAGCCACGCTGGCCTAGTGGCAGTTTTTCTTTTTAATGTAGTCACATACATTCACCTTTTCCTTTATGTGTTTGTGCTTTTTGTATTTTGTTGTAAATAAGTTATTTTGTGTAAAGGACTTAGAAGAGGAATTGCACATGGAGCTCAAGTATTATATTTGTTGTTGATGAAGATTTTCCTTTCTCCAGTATCATAAAGATATTGTTATGTGTGTATGTGTATATACACACAAACATTTGCATAATGCCTTTAGATGGTACAGTTACATTTTCTAGGTATATACCCTAAATGAGTCTTATACATGTACACAAGACAGCATGTGGAAGCATGTTCTTTGAAATATTTAAAAAATATATCAGCAGTGCCCAGCCAGTGTGGCTCAGAGGTTGAGCATTGATCCAGGAACCAAGAGGTCACTGGTTAGATTCCAGGTCAGGGCACATGCCAGGTTTTGGGCCCGATCCACAGTAGGGGGCGTGCAGGAGGCAGCTAATCAATGATTCTGTCTATATCCCTTTCCCTTCCTCTCTCTCTCTATCTCTCTAATCAATAAAAACATATTTAAAAAACATATGTAGGTAAAAGAAATGAACCAGATTGGAAGATATCAATATAAAAAGATATAAAAGGAAATATTAAGTGATAAAGGAAAAGTGGAGAGTATATTTATTTACACACACATATGCCATTTATGCATGAAACAGTTATTTGTGTTTGTTTTTTTAAAATATATTTTCATTGATTTCAGATAGGAAGGGAGAAGGAGGGAGAGAAACCCAATGATGAAAGAGAAACATTGATCGGCTGCCTCCGCCATGTCTCCTACTGGGGATCGAGCCCAAAACCTGGGCATGTGCCCTGACCTGGAATCTCACTGGTGACCTCTTGGTTCCTGGGTCAATGACCACTGAGCCACACCAGCCAGGCCAGTTATTTGTGTTTTTGATGGGTATATACATAAAGTTGATATGATATTTTGAGAGCCATTTGATTATGTCTACCAAATTTTAAAAATATATAAACCTGTTGACCCAAATATCCTATCACTAGTAATTTATTTTACAAATATACTTAAAAAAGTAAACTGATAAATACTTTACACAAGCATGCATGCTGCAGGATTGTTAGAAATAGCAGTGAACTAGAAACAACTGAAATAAGAAACTAAAGAAACAAATTAATACAAAAATTTTTATGTACTTATTTTTAAAATTGAGAAATCTGTACATGATGATATGGCACATGATGTACCTTTAAGATATATTAAATAGAGAAAGTCAAGGTATAGAACAATGTGTATTGTGGAATCTCATCTGTGTAAATATACACATGGAAATGTAAACATATATTAGAAGGGTGTTCACTAAACTCATGATAGTGGTTGCCTATGGAAGTGACAGTGGGGAACAGAACTTAGGTTTGCTGATGTAAGAGAATTTTAGTTTTATTACTTTTTATTTTTTTTAAAAAGATTCAAAGTTAATATAATCTAATATTGATAGTTGTTGCCCATGTTGTTGCTAGAACTCTAGTGTTTGTTATAGTATAATTTGAATTGTCTACATTTTTAGTTTTCCTGACGGTAAATAAATTTCTCAAAAATATTTAAAACCAATAAAAAGGCATTGGTGAAAATCAGTATATAACCTTACAAAGTAAAAGAAAAACAAAAATGAAACAAAATTTAAAAACAACTTTTTGCTTAGACTTGGAGAACATTTTGGAAATTAGCACAAGGCTTATATCTATATTTAGTATGATCCTCATTTTGAAAACCACAAAATTAAGAAATTGAAAATGTAACTTAACTGAGAAAGTAGGTGTGCCTTTTTGTCTCAAAGTTTCCATCAGTATCCAAACAACCTCTTTTTTTCTTTCACTTTTCAATCCTTGAGAATGAGGAAAGTTTACAAATGTATTGATCAAAAAATTGAAACCCTACTCTCATTAGTAGGTTAAGTTATTTTGGCATACTCACCTTTATTGCCAGATATTGAATTGATCAGTACTCCTTAATTTTTCTTCAGAGAATTGAAGGAATGATCTTTTCATTTCCCTCAAATCACTTTATCACCGTACCAAGCTACATGTCCTGTGCTTTTATTTTTTTAACTAGAGACCCAGTGCATGAAATTCGTGCACTGGGAGGGAGGGGTCCCTCAGCCCGGCCTGCGCCCTCTCATAGTCTGGGAGCCCTTGTGGGATGTCCAACTGCCGGCTTAGGCCCGCTTCCCACGGTCCTAAGCTGGCCCTCTTGCAGTCTGGGACCCCTTGCTCCTTAACGCCCGTCTGCTCACTGCTCCTTTCTGCTTGGCTTGCTGCTCCTTAGCGCTGCCGCGGAGGCAGGAGAGGCTCCCGCCACCGCCACTGCGCTCGCCAGCCATGAGCCCGGCTTCTGGGTGAGCAGTGCTTCCCCTGTGGGAGCGCATTGACCATCAGAGGGCAGCTCCTGCGTTAAACGTCTGCACCCTGGTGGTCAGTGTGCATCATAGCAACCAGTCGTTCTGGTCATTCCACCATAACGGTCGCTTAGGCTTTTATTATATAGATGAAATATTAAAATTACTAGGTTAAAATTATCCTATTTTAATAGTACTTGTATTTGCCTGATATGAAATGTCTACTGTTAATATGTTTTATTTGTAATTGTTTCTAGGATCTGAAGAAGATGATGAAGTTGTGGCAATGATTAAAGAATTATTAGATACAAGAATACGGTATGTGCTTATCTTTCTACTTGAGATCATATATACTGCAGAGTCAATTTTCATTATAGCAATTTACGTTTGGTTGTCTGTGAGATTATATTAGAGTTTTAAAAGAAGTATAAGTTAATGTAAACCACAGAAGGTTACCATGATAGTTGTCTATATTCACTCCAAATTTTAAAACTATCTAAACATAATCAGTAAAGTACTTTATCTTTCACAGTTACCATTTAGGTTTATATTGTTATAATACCAAATTTCTGAGAAAAAAAATTAGTTAAGAGTGTTTGGGAAGATTGTGAGGAGAGGATTACTTGTATTTTAGGCTATTATCCATAAAGAATAAAATTAAATAAGTAGAGAACTTCCTGCTCTGATTTTTTGCTTGTAGCAGACCAATGGCCCTGGTGTTAAGTCCCCGAAAAGCTAGGTAAAATACAATTTTAAAAAAATTGTGTGTGAAGACATTAAATAGCTAACAAAGCAAACAAGATCTGGTAGGGAAGAAAGCACATTGAGGCTTCCCTCTGGGCATTTGCTGATTCTTGGTGTGAGGCTAGAGCAGCCGTGGGCAAACTACAGCCCGCGGGCCGGATCCGGCCTGTTTGAAATGAATAAAACTAAAAAAAAAAAAAGACCGTACCCTTTTATGTAATGATGTTTACTTTGAATTTATATTAGTTCACACAAACACTCCATCCATGCTTTTGTTCCGGCCCTCCAGTCCAGTTTAAGAACCCATTGTGGCCCTCGAGTCAAAAAGTTTGCCCACCCCTGGGCTAGAGTATGAGAAGCTGGCTTGGGGCAGCTGCTAAGAATCAGAAAAACCATATAGCTTTTAGCAAATTTGTTGAAATGGGAAGACAACAATTAAAATTCTGGATCAATAAAGCTTTGACTTAAAGGGCCAAGATCCTAGAGAGAAGTTAAGAAAAAGTAAGCCCAACACTCAGAGGTTCTCTCCACATGGCACATGCTTATTCTTAGCTGTGTAAGAGAAGAGTCTAAGAGGTCAAACAAAAAGCAGTTGGAACACTAAACAAAGTTTTGACAGTTGTACGGTTCTGGGAGTAACAGAAATTGGAGTTTAGGACCAGTCAAGGAGGGTTGGGGCCTCAAGAAACATCCAGACTCTTAGTTGGGTTTCCTATAGGACTGTACCCTTGAAATGGGGGCAAACCAGAGGTAGACCATGGTCAAGAAAGAAATCACAAAGGAAATTTAAAATAGAATATTTGCATCACTTTTGAGTTTTTTCAAAAATAGTTTTTTTGACAGGACACAAGAAAAATCAAGGAAAAAAACATTAATTAGACTACAGTAGAATTATGACTCTTTTCATCAAAAGATGCCATTTACAGTGAAAAGCAAAGCACAGAGTAGAAGGTATTTATAATACATATATGACAGACTATATTTTAAAACTCTTACAATTTGTTAAGAAAACAAATATTCAGAGACTGAAGCAGTCTCTTTATGAAAGCACTGGAGCAGCTACTCAAAAACTATAGTAGCCAAATGGCCACTAGACACGAGAAAGTGCTCAACCTCATTAGTCATTGTGAATATTCAAATTAAAGCCACAATGAACTATCACTGCACATCCACAAGAATGGTTAAAATAATTAAGATTGACAACACCAATTGCTATTGAGGATGTAGAGCAACAGGAACTCTCTTATACTACTTGTGGGAATATAAGTTTATATAACTCTGGAAAACTATTTAGCATTTTCTGCTAAATCTGAACATATGCATATCCTTTTGTTTTTAAATCCTCACCCAAGGATATGTTTATTTATTTGAGAAAATTAATTGAATTGATTGTATGTGATTTCTACATTTTTCTTATTAATGTTATATTTCAATGAAAAGTTTACCTGAAAAAGAAAGCTAGCATGTGTCAAATTCTCTGTATTCACCCAAAAGAAATTGAGTATATCTTAGGTAATTACTATAATTATTAGGAAATTTGAAATTTTAAATGCTGAAAAAATGAATAAGCAAGACTAAATATAAAAAGTAGAGCATATATTTATATGAATGAAAGTGACAAAATTAAAATTATAAATGAGACTAGCCTCATTTATTTTCTATTGTAAAAGTAACTCTGAATTTACCAATACAAAATCTAAGCTCTTAGTTATATTAAATTTATTTGATCAAAATTTCTATTCTCTTAAATATCACAAATATACTGTGACCACAGGCCAACTGTGCAGGAAGATGGAGGAGATGTAATATATAAGGGCTTTGAAGATGGTATCGTACAGCTGAAACTCCAAGGTTCTTGTACCAGCTGCCCTAGTTCAATCATTACTCTGAAAAATGGAATTCAGAACATGCTGCAGTTTTATATTCCAGAAGTAGAAGGCGTAGAACAGGTATGCCAATATTATGCAATGGTTTTAATATTAAAATATCAAATAGATTTAAAATAAACATTTGAGAAGAAAAGCAATTCATGACCTGACATTTTCTTCAAGGGCTGGATCTTAGTGTTACAATTTTTATCAGACTTTATGACTCTTTAATTTAGAATTAACTTTAGTGTTATGAATACCTACTGTGTGCCAGGCATTTTTACAAATATTACTTCATTTAATCTCCTAATAGTATGGTATATTAATTGAGCCATTTCTATTTTGTTCATAGGAAATTGAGACTCAGGGCATACTGCTGCTTTGGTTGTGAAAAAATTAGAAGTGGATTCAAAACATCATAGTGTTTTGTAGATGAGATTTAGAAGTCTTTAGAGCAGTGGTTCTCAACCTGTGGGTCGCGACCCCTTTGGCGGTTGAACGACCCTTTCACAGGGGTCGCCTAAGACCATCCTGCATATCAGATATTTACCTTATGCTTCATAACAGTAGCAACATAACAGTTATGAAGTAGCAACGAAAATAATTTTATGGTTGCGTCACAACATGAGGAACTGTATTTAAAGGGCCAGAAGGTTGAGAACCACTGCTTTAGAGGAACAGCTCCAGTACATCATATTTATCCACTACTTGTTCTTACATTTATCCACTTCTTGTTCTTAAATGTGCAGGCAAGAAGCTCATCAAGAGATCATAGTACTTTGTTTTACAGTAAAACAGAGCATTTATTGAGTAGAATTATAGAGCTTTATCTATAGCCTATTGTCAGCATTTTTCTGCCCCAAGATACTTAAGGAATATAGCACAACATCTTCTAAGCAGTAATAGTCACCCTCACTGCAGTGATTCTCAACCAGGAGACATGGCCTTATGGAGAGAGATTATCAAGAAGGGAAAGAGTATGTGGAAGTTAGAAATTTGGACAACCTTTCTCGGAGAGGTGACCTTGGTTAAAACACATAGCGCCAAGAAGGTGAGCAAACATATTAAGAACAGTATGCCAGGAGAGACCAAGATGGCGGCATAGGTAAACACCGGAGACTGCTGCCGCAAACAACCACTTCAAAAATACAACTAAAAGACGGAACGGACATCACCCAGAACCACAGGAAGGCTGGCTGAGGAGAGACTCTTCAACTAGAAGGAAAAATAACAGCACACCGAGGCTCAGAGGAGGCGCAGTGTGGAAAAAACTCAGGTGCGGAGGTGCGCGCGCAAAGCGGGCTGGTGGCTGAGAGCGCGGTTGTCGTTTTCGGTCAGGGGGGAGTCTCAGACTCTGAGCTCCAGATACGGGCGAATCGCTGGGGACTCGGACCCAAACGGGAGAAGCGGGAGTGTCTGGCATCAGTTGGAAGGCAGCTTTCCCTCCGAGGTTTGCAGAAAACTCTTCAGGTAATTCTGTGCCTTTAAGGAGAAGACATCTCCTTTTAGTGCCTTTGGGAAATCACTCATGTCTGGGTAGTATTAAAATATGTCCTTTTGTGGGGATTGCCGGTTGTGGGGGAGTTCACGTGGGGGGTGGGGGGGTAGAGGCAGGTATAGGGGGAAAATGATGATGAAAGGAGACTTGACTTGAGGAGGATGAACACACAATACATTGTACAAGATGATGTGTTGTGGAATTGTGCATCTGAAATATAATTTTGTTAACCAGTGACACCCCAATAAATTCAATAAAAAGGAGAAAAGTAAAAAATATTGAAGCTAAGAAAAAAATTGTCCTTTTGGTACAACACATGCCATCTCCTCTTTGAACTCCTCTTTTAAGTCCTCAGCTTAAAATTAAGCTCTACTTTGGTCCAAAGCCGCTTTCTGTGTCTGTTTCACTTTATGTCTGTGGGTAAGTTCCTTGAGAGCTTACCCACATACATATCTCAGTCTTTGTATTCCTCTGCAACACTTAGCCTTGTGTGTTGTTCATGTTCTTACACATAGTTTGTATTAAATATTTGGAAATGGTATTCCAAAATTAGGAATATTCTGCCTAAAATAGGAGTTGATTGATAAAATTTTTTGGATTGGGTGTTGCTGAGATTGGATATAAAATATCAATTCCTTGGAAGTAAATGTCCATTTTTACTTAACACAAAAGAGAAACCATTAGATAATTGTTTTTCCATTGATTGTCTCAGATCAGAACCAGATTTGTCTAGATTTAAAAACAAACAAACATTTTGTTCCATTTTCTGCCATATGCCTTTTCTTTTTTTTGGCCATATCCCTTTTAAAAAATTACATTAGCTGACACTGTGGATTGACAAAGGAACATTTTTGTTTACTTGTCCAGGGTGGGGTGATGAATTGGCTGTCAGACTGTAAACTTGAATTGGCATTCAATTGTAGTAGGTGTGGTGAAGAGAAAAAAAGTTCTTCGGTTTATATAACTCTCTTCCTTACCAAAGGAGTTGTTCTTTATTATTTGAGTAATATATTAACTCATGAAAAGACATTAATTTTATTTTTTTCTTCAAGTATTCATTAGTTTTATTAACTTATTAGAAATGAAAGTCTTAACATTTTTTTAAGGTTTGAAATGAATTTTTATCTGAGTAAGATAAAATAGTTGCCAATATATTTTGTTTACTTACTTTTTTGGGGGATTCATTTTTCTTTTAAAAATTTTTTTATTGATTGATTTTTAGAGAGGGAGAGGAAGGAAGAGATAGAGAGAAACATCAATTTATTGTTCCACTTATTTTTTTAATATATATTTTTTATTGATTTCAAAGAGGAAGGGAGTGAGATAGAAACATTAATGAAGAGAGAGAATCATTGATTGGCTGCCTCCTGCAAGCCCCCACTGCGGGGGATTGAGCCCACAACCCAGGCATGTGCCCTTAGCCGGAATTGAACCTGGGACCCTTTAGTCCGAAGGCTGATGCTTTATCCACTGAGCCAAACCTGTGAAAGCTTCCACTTATTTATGCGTTCATTGGTTGATTCTTGCATGTGCCCTGATGGGGGATCGAACTGGAAACCTTGGCATATCTGGGCGACACTAACCAATTGAGCTATCTGGCCAGGGCTCAGGATTCATTTTTCTAATGTATATTTTTACAGTTTGGTATAGAACCCCAGAATATATTTAAATAAATAAGATGCTGTTCTGTTAAGGAGGGGGGTAATCAATTACATTAGTCTTATGACTAGGAAATACCAATTAATCTTTATAGTCTTCTCTGACCAGCTGAGACTCTGCTATTGCCTCTTTTGGGACAAGGAAAAGAGAACAGTGCTTTTAATTAATTTGCTAATATTCAGTTTGCTTCTATGTTGTTAGGATACCAGGTTACGATGCAAACCTTGTGCTTTGGGGCTATTGATAGATTTATTTTTATTGATTTGCATTATTATAGAATAGAGTATTTCAGGTAATGTTAAAAACAATAAAATAGCAATTTCTAATTATTTTCTTAATTCTTAAATTCTCTTTGTTTTCTTTCTTTTTTCTTTTTTTGGTTCTAGGTTATGGAAGATGAATCAAATGAAAAAGAAACAAATTCACCTTAAAATATTTTGAGTTTTCTTTGGGCCCAGCAATCGGACTTATTGATACTATATACCTTGCTTTTATTATTAACTGCCAAGGAACTGCAGATTAATAAAATATGCCCTTTCTTCAGAGAATGATATATAAATAGTGCATGTTTACTTGACCTCATATGAGTTATTTATAACATCCTGAATCATTTTCTGTACACATGAATTTTATTCAGGGATATTTTTATTTTTGTTAGTCATTTTTCATGGTTAATTCTTTGCATAATGTTTGAAGCAGTTTAAAATACATTTCACCTCATCTCATTTATTTATTTTTAAAATACAGAAGTGAATAGGGAGAATATACTTTAAAAAATATTTGAAATGGCTAAGCTTTTGTGAGATGTTTGAAACTATTTTTAATGAATTTTTTATCTTGTTAAAAAAACCCCAACTAAACAATTCTGGTTTAAAAATGATATCAGGCTGCCCTGGCTGGTGTGGCTCAGTTGTTTGAGCATTGTCCCATGCACTGAAAGGTGGCCAGTTCAATTCCTGGTCAGGGTACATGCCCAGGTTGTGGGTTTGAGACAAAAAAACAAACACACACACACATGCACACACAAACAAATCATAATGCTGAATACTGATTAAAACAAAAACAGATTCCAGAATGTAGAAAAAAAGGCAATCCTATCTAATAAAAGAGAAACATGCAAATTGACCATACCCCCGAACACTTCCCATTGGCTAATCAGCAGGATATGCAAATTAACTGCCAACCAAGATGGCGGCCGGCAGCCAGGCAGCTGAAGCAAACAGGAGGCTTGCTTGCTCCATTGATGGAGAAAGCCAAGGTTCCCCGCCTGCCGCCACCCAGCTCTGAGCTCCGGATGCAACAATGTTGCAATTATAGAAGCTAAACAAGCTCCAGAAACCTGCTTTCAGCCGGCAACGGGCTCAGAGCTTAGAGCGGCAGTGATGGCAACAGAGTTTCAATTAAAGAAGCTAAACAAAGCCCAGATATCTGCTTTCAGCAGCCGAGGCCTCAAGCTGGAGCCGGCCTCAGAGCTAAAGCTGGCTCTCAGCTCCAGTGACAGCCATAG